GTACCAGCACGGAGCTCATCATCACCACCACCATCATCATGATCATTAATTAAATTATAATCATTATCGTTATCATCATCACTAGTCCTACTATTGATAATTATAGATTACTATCACCATCATGATCATGGGTTCTATTATTCCTGAATTATTGATATTAATCATCAATAGTCCTATTAATTGATAATTACCCTCTGGCAAACTAACATAACTATGGAAAATCACCATTTTTAATAGGAAAACTCACTATAAATGGCCATTTTCAATAGCTATGTTAGTTTTACCAGAGGGTACTACGCATCACTACACGGGTTCTCACTACCAACCAGCCTTCCCTCTGATGTCAGTCGAGTGACAGAGCCCCACGCAGTGCCAAAACGGTCCAAACCAGATTGTAGGCGAGGATGGTACCAACCCTCAGTCAAACTGGGATGACCTAAGGTCGATGGGAAAAGGAATCGAAATTTTGATTAATTGGTTGGTGGTGCAATAACCATCTTGAAAAATATGAGTTCGTCAATGGTAAGGATTATCCCATATATTATGGAAAATAAAATTCATGTTGAAACCACCAACCAGTTAATCTATGGATGAGGTAATAGATGGGAAGGACTCCAAGTGTCAATCTAAGGTTTTGAGATGGGTTTTGAGCAACTCCAGTAGAGATTCTGTGCGATTACCCTGCGGCTGCAATGGTCCACTACCCTCCTGTAATCTAACGTGGCAATGGAATTTAACATATACAGTCTGGTTGGTGGTATACCTACCCCTTCCGAAAAATATGAAAGTCAGTTGGGATGATGACATTCCCAACTGAATGGAAAGTCATAAAATTCATGTTCCAAACCACCAACCAGCAGTAACATATCTATATCCACTGCCAACATTATTATCCCCATCCTGCTTATTGTTGGTCAAGTCATAAGCCAGTAACTCACAGCATCTCTTCTTTCGGTCAGGAATGATCTCTGGAACCCTGGGATCCCTGGGTATCTCTCCTTGAGTTGGCGTCAACCAAGCTGAACTGGTTGGTGGTGCAATAACCATCTTGGAAAATATGAGTTCGTCAATGGGAAGGATGACATCCCATATATTATGGAAAATAAAAATCATGTTTGAAACCAACCAGTGAAAAGATCTGTTTGATACAAAAAGGTACGTCCTGTTTTTTCGCACATCTGCGACCGCTTTTTTCGCTAAATCAGCTGTGCAATTCATCGGATCATCTGATCACATCTCCGATCATTGGGTTTTCCTTACCCGCAGAAACTTCCATATTTTTCATTTTTGGAAGTGGATAAGGAAGTGAAAATGGAACACTTGATGTCCAACTTCCAGGTATGATCCAGGTATTTTTCATGTTGGATCAAACTTCCTTACCCAAAAAATGTCCAACAAAATCTCCAAGGTTCAGGTATGATGCGATCCAAGTGGTAGATGATCCAGCTTTCATATATGACACCTAGGGACGTTCCGACGTTACCGAAACGAGAGGTTTCCCTAGACTCAGAAGGACCGGAGATCATTGGGACAACCCGGGGTTGCAACACCGATCTCAGGATCAGAAAAAATATGCTTTGCTGCTGAACCACGATATGGTGGTAAGAACTATACTAGTTGGTGGTAGAGCCCTACCCCTCTGAGAAATGTGGAGTTAGTTCGTCAGTTGGGATGATGACATTCCCAATATATGTAAAAACACAATTCATGTTCCAAACCACCAGCCAGTATATATAATGATACAATCACTTGAAACTATGTTTCAGACCATATCAGACCATAAAACTCTGAACATTCAGAAGTTCTGTCAAACCCTCTGGCCATTTGATATAGCTGTGGAAAATCCCAATTTTTGATGGGTTAATCATCTATAAATGGGTCATGTTCTACAGCTACGTTAAATTACCTAAGGGTCATTCTAAAGATTGGATGGTTAATCCCAGTAACTAATCCATTACATATAAATCATGTATATATATATACACATAACATCTCATTAGTATATATATATATATAGATATACATAATATCCTTTCAATCATATTTGAAAACGGAGATTTCCCGCTTTTGTTTGAGGATTTTTCTCTCAGTCTGCGGATCTAACCCTCAGAGATCCCGACCAAACAGGAGGCAAAAAATCCACCAACCCTTCACCAAATCCCAAAAAATGATTTCTAAAAAAGGGAAACCATGCAAGATTTCCCTGCCTTTTTCCCATGGTTTGCTCCATGAAATTCAGGGAAATCCCCGGTATTTTTTCCCAACCCCTCACCAAGTCTTCGTATCTTTTCCCAAGGCACCATATATTCCCATGACATTGAGCAACACACAAATCCTCAGTTGCGCTGAGGAAAGGTGCCGTGATCCAACATGATCCAACACTTTTTTAAGGGATACGCAACCCCGGGGATACCCAAACACAAAATATACCAAGATACCCTCTGGTAAACGTTTACATAACTGATGGGAAAATCACCATAGAAATAGTGAATTTTCCAATGACAAATTGTGATTTTCCATAGTTATGTTAGTTTACCAGAGGGTAAGATGTTGAAAACACAGCTTTGCCGCATGTCTTTCGGCCATAAAAATTGGTGGCTTTCGAGGGTTGCCAAGCTTTTTTTTATACATGTCCACATGAATCTGCATCTGGCTGTGGCATCTGAACCACACTGGCGAAGCGTAGTGAACCATGCCGATCTTGGTGAAGGGAACGTTCAGAAACACCATCCGTGTCAATCTGAAACACCATCTTGTCTCGATCCATCTTGTGGGTCAGCAAAGTGCTACATATAATATAAATGTAGTTTTACCAATACATATCTATACACATATTTAAGTATATGTGCACATTTACACATAGGCTTCAGTAATTGGTATGGGTAGAAACTCTGTTGCCCTGTACTTCACATCACATTTATTATATTAATCTTCATTCCATCACTTCTGGTGTGATGTCCTATAGGTATTGACATGTCCAACTACCAAAGAGCAGAAAAAAACGACAAAATGCCGCTCAGTTTCCAAGAAGGATCGCGTAGCCCAAAGGGATCTCAGCAGCCAGCTGACACTTTGAACAAAATTCGGATGCAACCAATATCACTCAAAATACCATCTGGTAAACATACAAAAAGCTATTGAACATTGCCCATAGAAATAATGGATTTTCCCATTAAAGATGGTGATTTTCCAGTTCGCTATGTTAAATGACCAGACCAGAGGGTATATTTACCCACGAAACTGGGTGATTTTTAGGGTAAATGTTGGTAAATATTCCAGCACCATGGAGGGTAGGGACTCTGTAACCATCAATAGGGTTCAGCTTTGGCACGGGGATCCTCACGGTAAATTCTCCACCAGAAGTGACCCAATGGTGATCTGTTGTTAGTTGTATGTTGCTTGGGAGATCTGCCGTGCAGAACAAATCATAGTTGACATCACAATTTAAGATGGTCTAATACAAAGTCCACAAAGTCTACATTTGAGCCATCGAAAATACCCTATTCCATGTCCTCCCATGTCATGAAATACTAAGCCCAGTTGGTTGATAGGTTCCCCTTTTTTTGGGTCATTTATGTCAATTTGTCACCCAAAACCAAGGTAGTATAACCTCATTGGCTCCACACACACACACGAGGCAACTCTGGTTGCTCAGCTCCACATCAAGAGACATACGTCAGACTTGATGGTGAATCCTTCCTTGGCTGCCGCAGCGATCAGTAACGACATGGCAGGTAGGGCTCACATCGATCTCACATCGACAAGAAATCGAAGGGTTTGAGGGAACAAATTGTGACTTCATGCACTAGCTGGCACAAGGTAGTACCTGCTACCCCTGAAGCAAGTGTCACAAGTCGTAGCTTCCTAATTCTTGACCACTAGCCAGTAGCCCCTTTCATGGACCATCAACATATTATTTGACACCTCCAACCAATTCATTGATGATCTATCTATTATATACATATATGCAATTTTTGTTGGTTGAGTCCATACTATTTCTTGTTGCTTCATCTGCCAACTCAAATTCGGCAGGCAGCTCAGGGAACAGCGCAACCAGAATTCCCTTTCGATTGGTTACTACTTGTTGACTGGCCGTTCTTGTTGCTCATAACCATTAAAACATGCATTGCTAGCCCGGAACCCGGCTGATCTTAGACACACTGTTACAAAACATGCGTAACAGTTAGTGTAACTCTTAAGTCCTATATTTATAGCAAGAGAAACAATCATAAAATTTGGAGGGTAGGCCAAACCAACAATTGAACGATTTATTACAGTATATATGTATATTAGTATAACTAATTTAGTGTATTATAGTATATTAGTATATCAGTATATTTATTTAGTAGCTATATTAGTATATACCCGTTTATACAATACTAAATAACTAATCGGGATATATTATTAATATTATATATATATATCATATTATATTTATCAGCTAATAATATATTTAGCCAAGTTTTTTTTCCCCATTTATATTACTATTTTAGTATATTCCGATTATATAATACCATCCCCATTTTATTACTGGTTGGTGGCATATCTACCCCTCTGAAAAATATGAAAGTCAGTTGGGATGGTTATTCCCAATATATGGAAAAATAACATTTATGTTCCAAACGACCAAGCAGATGGTGGTTGTATATATATATATATCATTATATCATATTATATCCCCATCATATCCCCATAAACACCATGATCCATGGGTTGAATATGGGTTGAATATTACTGTACCCTCTGGTAAACGGGCTTGCAAAAAAGAACTGGAAAATCACCATGCTATTAATGGGAAAACTCACTATTTCAATGGCCATGGCTTCAAGTTCGCAAACTGGAACAAATTACCGGAGGGTACATATAATATAAACCATCATTAATCACCATTTAACCATCATTAACCATCATTTAACCATCATTTTATCTATCCATGGGTTGAATATTGTCAACTGCCAACCAGTTCGTTTTTCGGTGCCTGAGCTTTCACTGTTGCTGAGCTACAGAAGTTCATCCCTCAGGGGCCCTCGCACGAAGTCGGTGAAGGCTTCCTACCACCGCAGCGAATCAGAGCCGTCGTCATGGCATTTTTTGGGCAAATCCATGGGAAAATCCATGGGAAAATCCATGAAAACCCTGGCACATGGGGGTTGGAAGATTAGTTTCCACCAAAAATTGGTCATCTTCAGGGTCTATGTTAATTTACCATAGGGTATGATTTTGAATGGGAAAATCCCTGGATATCATGAAACATATATCACTTATCAATTGGGATAGTTGCGAAGCAACTAATTCATCATTCCAGCGAGGTGGTTTTTGGGTCGGTTTTCTGTAATTTATCTATAGATTTATGAACAATTCATTGATATGATGCAATTCACTAGATTCCCCGAGTCCTGGACAGATTCAGAAGGACTTGCCGAAGAACTTGGGGCCACCATTGGGATTTATCATGCATCACTGTGATTTGCGCAACAACCATGGCAATCCAAGCTGTTTTAAGCAAAGGAAAGGTATTTTACCACAAAGTCATGGCGATTTTGCCAGCGAATGATGGGGGTTGACGTTGACATCATCTGCACAAGAGGATTTGTCCATCAAATGAAGATCTGCAAGCTGATTTACTCCCCCACTCAGTGAACTGTTTTCATAATAAAGTGAGCACATTATGAGCGTAATTCTGCGGCATCGGGCAGATTTTTCGGGCTGCAGAGTTTGGGAATTTGTTGAAATCTCAGGGGCGATCGTGATCTCAGGGATTCAAATAAAACGAACCAAAGTAATGACACCAGAAATACACCTCAAATATCTGCAGGTCCATCAGGTTTAGCTGCATCTCTCTTTGTAGCCCTTCGTGTCCCATCCCCACTGTAGATGGCCGGTCCCGACTGCCATACCACTTGATAATCGCGGAATGAATGAAGCTGCCTATCAAACCGCACGATCCCGACGATCCACCGACACACATGGGGACTGGAAGGTGCATCTTCCAAACCACATAGGTACCAGACCCATAATGGGGGTTGACCTTGAGCCCCATTTAATGAGCCCCTTATTTAAGTTGACCTTGAGGGGTACCCTTAGATGGCACTGGCAGGAGGAGAGCTACATCACGATTTGCCGCCCCAAAAAGTATAGGTATAGGTAGGTATACAGATACTATACATATGGTTATAGATCATGTTCTGGGTAGGTGATGGTGCTTCAGGTCGTCTTTGGCTATATTATCCATATGCAGATACTTATACACCCATGTAGCACTCTGCGTGTTTTTTTTGTCTCCACCGGTTTTTGCCAAGCAACGATCAAAGTCGTCAAGGCAATGCACTTGCCTCAGAGCGAGAGGCTGGATGGAAAAGGATATTAGTCATTGACGATCATCTTGCCAGTTCTATGCATATATATATATATATGTATATGTATATGTATATGATATATGTATGCACATACATACATATATATACACATAATATAGTTGTATATCTGGCCAAATTACTTTAATTCTTACCTCGTCTCCCTCGTGTCTTAGTTTGTTCCCTATGATTACTGTCCTCGTTCGTTAATTTGCAGGTGCAAATTAAGGCTTTACCTCGTTAATTCGAAGGAAGAAAGTAGCTTGTGGGCCTTCTTTCCAGGGTCCAACCCCAAGGAAAAAACACTTTTCAGCTTCCGAAAAGTTTTTTTCCACGATCCACGGTCTCTTGCAGGGATTTTTAAATCTGAGTCTGATCGGTCTTTGCACTTCTTGCACTTGGGTGGTGACATCTCTGACATTATCGCAGAGATGCAATGCTCTTCTGGAGCAACTCTGAATCCTACTGCTTCTGCAGCCGTCAACCCACGAAGCGGGCCTCTCGCGATAGAAAATAAAACTTTTTGGGGCCTGAAAAGTTTTTTTTCCTTCCTTGCCTGCTGACCGGCCTCTAGCGATAGAAAATAAAATTTTTTGGGGCCTGAGAAGTTTTTTTTCCTTCCTTGCCTCCTGACCGACCTCTGGCGATAGAAAATAAAACTTTTTGGGGCCTGAAAAGTTTTTTTTTCCTTCCTTGCCTGCTGACCGGCCTCTGGCGATAGAAAATAAAACTTTTTGGGGCCTGAAAAGTTGTTTTTCCTTCCTTGCCTGCTGACCGGCCTCTGGCGATAGAAAATAAAACTTTTTGGGGCCTGAAAAGTTTTTTTTCCTTCCTTGCCTGCTGACCGGCCTCTAGCGATAGAAAATAAAACTTTTTGGGGCCTGAAAAGTTTTTTTTCCTTCCTTGCCTGCTGACCGGCCTCTGGCGATAGAAACTTTTTGGGGCCTGAAAAGTTTTTTTCCCTTCCTTGCCTGCTGACCGGCCTCTGGCGATAGAAAATAAAACTTTTTGGGGCCTGAAAAGTTTTTTTTCCTTCCTTGCCTGCTGACCGGCCTCTGGCGATAGAAAATAAAAACTTTTTGGGGCCTGAAAAGTTTTTTTTTCCTTCCTTGCCTGCTGACCGGCCTCTGGCGATAGAAAATAAAACTTTTTGGGGCCTGAAAAGTTTTTTTTCCTTCCTTGCCTGCTGACCGGCCTCTGGCGATAGAAAATAAAACTTTTTGGGGCCTGAAAAGTTTTTTTTCCTTCCTTGCCTGCTGACCGGCCTCTGGCGATAGAAAATAAAACTTTTTGGGGCCTGAAAAGTTTTTTTTCCTTCCTTGCCTGCTGACCGGCCTCTGGCGATAGAAAATAAAACCTTTTGGGGCCTGAAAAGTTTTTTTTCCTTCCTTGCCTGCTGACCGGCCTCTGGCGATAGAAAATAAAACTTTTTGGGGCCTGAAAAGTTGTTTTTCCTTCCTTGCCTGCTGACCGGCCTCTGGCCCCCAAAAAAGTTTTTCTAGCCAAGCCCAAGCATGCAACAGAACCAATGCAAGGCTACCTCGTCGAGGTCGGCTAATTCTGATGAGCAAATTAAGGGCTGACCTCGCTAATTCCTGCAACCTGCCTCGTTGCCTCGGCTGTCCTCGCTATAATTTGTGCAGTTGTATATGTATATGATAGAGACAATGAACATACCAAAAGAACCAATAGACAAGTGAATCAGGTGAAATGCAGAAATTTGTCGAGGAAGATATCCCTTTGATGGCTGTCTTACGAGGAATTCAAATATGTGGACGATTCAAACCAAAACATATACATTTGGGGGTTTCTTAAATGGGGATACACAAAGTCACCATGGGTTTCAATACTAAAATGGCCTAGTTTTGGATGATTTGGGGGTACTATGGGGTACTATCATTTTAGGAAACCTCCATTTGGATCAACCAGGTGGGTTTGGGAAACCAATCAACGTTGGAATATTGGTCCAACGATGGTGAACACACTTCAACATCCTTTGACATACCCTTTGGCAATTTAACAGTTTGCTATTGAACATGGTCCATTTATAGTTGATCTACCTATTAAAGATGGTGGTTTTCCATAATGTTAGTTTACCAGAGGGTAATCACAGCGGATACTTCAAATAGAGGCCCTAGTTTGATGGCGATGATATGGCTGGGGACGGTCTGTCCGCATTCGTATCCATCATCACCAAACCTAGCAGCCTATAGGTAGCAGTTTAGGAGTCACAAAACCGCTAAGTTGACAAGGTCATTTGCGGATGAACTTTGCCGGCATTGATGAACAGTGGTTATGACAGTGGTTATGAAAATGGATGACAATGGCATCCCAACTGCCTCCTTTAATGGTGACCAAAGCAATTACGCTTAACTTAAATCAATTGTGAATGGTAAACCTTGGGGTGATCAAAAAAAGTTGGGGCACCCTTAAACGACTTGTCATCTCTATTTGTCGCGGTCCATATTTTTTTGCCTGCCTAGAAAAGCCGATTTAAGCAATGAGGGTTGGGTTCATCGAGAAACTAAATGGTTCGCAAAAAATAACATGACTTGATCATTCTGGATAGGAATCAAACTTAGTACCCTCTGGTAAACTAACATAGCTATTGAAAATGGCCATAGAAATACTGAGTTTTCCCCATTAATATCAGGGTGATTTTCCATAGTTTTTTGTAAACGTTTACCAGAGGTAGTAACCCCTAAGAACGGATAAAACTGATTCCCACTACAGTACAACTTTGATCATTTCATTGGGCCCTGCACGCTACAAGTACCAAAACGTTGAACAAGGCCTATGCCCAAATTCTCACCGTAATTGGTTCATTTGGGTCGTTGTCTCTCGGTATTAAACAATAATAATCATATATATATATATAATTATATTATATATATATACATATATATATATAATGTAGATTATAGTATCTCCTACATGACGATCTATCTATATATCTATATAATCCATAAGTATTATCCAAGACGGGTTTTCCAACACACCCCGCCAAGTTTGGAGGACTTTCTCCGGTCGTACTGTGAAAGTCCCAGTAGCTTGATATCAAAGTCTTTCAGATCCTGAGGGGACGAAAAAAAAGTAAAAACATCGCAGGTCTGGTGAATTTTTCTCTTGAAAAACATGGTGAAACTGACCGGTAGTCGATGATAAACTGATAAACATGATGAAACTAGCTATTAAACACCGGTAGTTTTCCAATTCGCAAAGCTATGAGGCTTGGAAGGCGATTCTTTCCTCTAAAAAGTAGTAATTTTCGAAGTCGAAGTGTCAGTTGCGGGGATGATCGATGGATCAAAAGTGGAATGAAATAAGGAACCAGAGGGGCAGCTTGATGATGATTTTGTAAGGATATAAGATTGATATCATGAAGGATCGGTGGAAAAATGTTGAGTTCGTAATGAGTATCTAGACAAAGAATAGAGGAAAGATGAACTGAACGAGTAAGTATATGACCTGGATTAGAGGAATATGAACCACAAGCAATGGGACTGCGATCACAATGGAGAGGTATCACAACCATTCAATTGCTATCAATTGCTAGATCATCTGAGCCATGACCACCGCGGATAGGCTCCGTATAACCCACTATCATAACAACTCAACTAGGGTAATTTGAATGGCTCATCTGTATTCAGTACAATTGGGTCCGAAGCTTTAAAATAGTGAGATGTGCTCTATATGGAGGTTTCCTGCCATGGGGGTACCCCCAACTCATCCATTTATAGATGGTTTTTCCATATAAACCATCCAGCTGGGTAGCCTCATGACTATGGAAATCCCCATATCATTCCATATGGGTATGGGTCAAAATTAGGTACCCCAATAATTGGATGGTTAATACATGTTAATACTACACTAGACATTCACATCTGTGGTCCCCTAGGTCTTCTATTTTGACCCACATCCATATCTCTATTGAGTCAAAAATGCCACGTATCTGGGTAAATTATAATAATTCACTAACCTGAATTAAGGCCATTTGGGGATGATTTCCCTTACTAACCATGATTTCCAGTGAGGTCGCAGTGAGGTCGTTATAATTTACCCAGACGTATAGCTAACAGCCATCGGCCCAGGCGCGCTGAGCAGTTTGTGCTTCGATTCTGCGAGGTTTCGACGCATCAGATGCAACGGAATGCACGCAGGGATCATTGCCTGGAGGTCTTGGCGGCCGGGCCAAGTATACCCCGTAGTCCTTTCTGTTGGTTAATTTCTCATACCCTCTGGTAAACTAACATAGCTATTGAAAATGGCCATTTATAGTGGTATTTCCGATTAAAAATAGTGATTTTCCATAGCTATGTTAGTTTACCAGAGGGTAAATCATAGGAAAAACATAGGAAAAACAAGGTTTGTCGAGACTCCACATTTCTGTGCAATTATGGATAATTATGGTTAAGTGCCCTCATAAGGATTAAAGGCTGTCGAGAATCCAAATTGGTGCGCAATTACGGTTATATAAATGGCCTTAAACCATAGAATTAAATGCATTTACCTATGCAAATCGCGGGGGCAAGTACGAATGTGAAAAACGGGTCAACTGTGAAGAACCCACAAATCATGGATTGTTGGCAGAGTGGATGATGGAAGTAGGGCCTGGGATGTTTGGTGCCTTCAAATGCGAAAAACCTCCTGGCGAAGAGTGGGACAAACGGTGATATGAACCAGTAGATATGTCGATAATGGGTGGATGATTGGTGGATGATTGGTGGATGATGGTGGATGATGGTGGATGGATGCTAGATATTTGCATGGGGTGATAGATAACCAAGAATTCATAAGAATCTATGATGGGAATAATGATTGATCATGCCCAGCAATGCGAATATGAGGTGACTCATACAACTGAGTGATGATACATATTGGCTAGCCTCAAGTACAGCACAAAAACGCATCTTGTCTTGGACCTCGAACACATCCTCGATCTATAGCTTAGCCGAGGCGGGATCAATCTGTGGGTAAAGCAACTTCTGATTTGTTTTCAAGTGCTAATCCTTTCTCTCCATTTACTTTTCCATTTAGTTTCATCATATTTCATCATTTCTGATCTATTGAAAGAGCCAACCCAATCCTATCCATCTTTTTTAAACCTTCGCGTCCTAGCCAACCGATACTTTCTACCCCTGCCAGGCCAAGATACAACCACATACACCACAGTACTCAGGCCAGAGAGATTCAGCGCATTCGCCACCTTGCTGTGGCTGGACAATTCCAACTGGCCACTAAAGCCCATGGATTTTCACGAATCTATGTCGGTTTATTTTTCGACATGGGAGGTCACCATTTAGAACGAGTTTATGATCACTGTTTGACAGTTTGGGGTACCTCTCTTTTGGGGTTTACTGTATTTATATGTATTTATGGTGGTTGACATCACCACCAAAAACAGCTGTTGGCATGTTGATGGATTTTGCACCAGCCAGGCAACCTTTTGGATGACATTTCATGCCAAATACTGGATTACGAGACTCTTGGATGACATTTCATGATGAAAACCATGATGAAAACTATGGATTGTCAGTTGGATGACATTTCGTGATTGGATTCCATAATGTCAACCCTGGATTAATAAACCCCTAGGCTGTTTAATTGGGAAGGTACCATTTAAGTATCAGATTATGACTATTGGAGGAGTACCCATAATTAATAAACCATGGTTTAGCAGCTTAGCAAAATCTGGGGTTTCCATTACGGATTTCATATGACATTTCAGTCGCAAACTTTGGCACAAGTGAAGTCAGGGGCCCAAAAGTGCTCGACGCTTCTTTCTCAAATCAGCTTAAAGCTGTGCCGTCGAAACATGGGATTCATGAAATTCAGGTTTCCATGGAGGTTTCCATAGTCATGGCAAATCCCCAAGAGCCGGATGGTTTGTTTCATGGAAAAGCCTATGAAAAATGGATGAGAACTGGAGGTACCCCCATGGCATCTTGGACATCTTAGGACCCCTCCGATTCTTGTCATCCAATGTCATCCATCTGGATTTTAGGGGAATCTAAACATCAAGAGTGAATCTAAAGAATTTATGGATGTTTAATGGGAATCTAAACATTAATGGGAATCTAATCTAAACATCCATTTATGTTAATCTTTAAATCTACCCTCTGGTAATTAGAAACATAGCTATTAAAAAATGCAATTTATAGTTGATTTACCCATTAATAGCATGGTGATTTTCCACTATGAAACTCGAGAATCATGACGTATCATGACCACCATCGAACGCTTCGAAATGACCAAACCCCAGGCACCCAGTAGCATCCCAGCACCACATACCTCGCCAGGGTGTGAAGTAACACAACGACGTGGAAAAAATGCATGAATCCAGAAAAAAGTATTGTTGTGTTTTTCCCCACCTGCCAGGTGAGGGTTGTTAGATTTTATGTCAGTTGCCTCCTCCTCCTCCTCCTTCTCCTCCTCCTCCTCCTCGTCCTCCTCGTCCTCCTCGTCATCCTCGTCCTCCTGCTCAACTGCGACCCTCGACGCACAGTGTTCTCTGTCGGACCTCAACCACGACCATCCATGCTCAGTGTTCCCTGCCGGACCTCAACCACGACCATCCACGCCCAGTGTTCCCTGCCGGACCTCAACCACGACCATCCCCGCCCAGTGTTCCCTGCCGGACCTCAACCACGACCATCCACGCCCAGTGTTCCCTGCCGGACCTCAACCGCGAGTATCCACGCCAAGTGTTCCCTGCCGGACCTCATGAGATATGCCAGATAGAAAGCCAGAAGATATGCCAGATGGAATGTTAGATAGAATGCCAGAAGATATGCCAGATAAAATGCTATGAGATATGCCAGATAGAATGCCAGAAGGTATGCCAGATAAAATGTCAGATAGAATGACACAAGATATGCCAGATAGAATCCCAGAAGATTTGCCAGATAATATGCCAGAAGATATGCCAGATAGAATGCCAGAAGATATGCCAGAACATCTGCCAGAAGATATGCCAGATAGAATCCCAGAAGATTTGCCAGATAATATGTCATATGCCAGAAGATATGCCAGATAGAATGCCAGAAGATATGCCAGAAGATATGCCAGAAGATATACCAGAAGATATGCCAGATAGAATGCCAGAAGATATGTCAGAATATATGCCAGAAGATATGCCAGATAGAATGCCAGAAGATATATCAGATAGAATGCCAGAAGATATGCCAGATAGAATGCCAGAAGATTTGCCAGATAGAATGCCAGAAGATATGTCAGATAGAATGCCAGAAGATTTGCCAGTAAGAAAATGTAAAAATGTCACGGTGGGGATCACACGAAGTAAAGTAATTTTCCATATAGTATTACCTGGTTGGTGGCTTTAACCATCTTGAAAAATATGAAAGTCAATGGGAAGGATTATCCCATATATTATGGACAATAAAAAATGTTTGAAACCACCAACCAGTTACATAGTTTTGCTACACTTAATTTGACCACCATGGAGAACCACTATGTTTACAGATCACAACATTTTTTTATCAGCAAACATAGGGCTGATCCATGGTTATGTATAACAAAAAACCATCGCGACCAAGACGGGGATAGCTCCATCATGGAGATCAAACCAGGGAACATTATGGGATTTTCTTCGTTCAGGTATTCATAGGTATATTCATAGGTATATTCATAGGTATATCATAGGTATATCATAGGTATATTATAGGTATATATATATAATTATGTATATATATATATATGTATACATATATATAATTATGAATATATATATATGTATATATATATATATATGTGGGAACATCATGGCCAACACTAGGTATATCATAGGGACAGTATCGGACGGAAATCTCTTGGAATCAGCACAGAGTTCATCAGCCATGGATGCGAAGAACTTTCACGGCCTGCCACAGCATCTCTTCTTTCGGAGAATGATCACGATTGTTACTTGGAAAACTTGGAAACATCTCTGTTTTTCTCATTTTGCTGGTGAAATTCCCAAATTTATCCAAGCTTCGAAATGACCAAACATTAAGAGTCATTAACTTTCTGGACCCAGATTCATCAATGCTCATATGTTTTCACACATTATGATATATTATGATCCTCTCGTTATTTCAGGTAGCTATGGAACATCACTGTTTTTCATGAACATCACTGTTTTTCATCGGTATATCATCATTTTCATCATTTTCGGCCATTTTCCATAGCAATCCCCAACAAAAATCACTAGTCACTTTACATCTTTTTCCATCTCCGTCTTTTTTGTTGGGTTTTGACGCCTTTTTTAAATCACCTTAGGCCGAGGGTGCAGGCCGATGATCATCATGGTCAGGATCTGCTCGACGTAGAGAGGCGTCAAGGTGATCTTCCCTGAAGGATTCGCCTTGCGATATGCCGCCAACTCCTCGGTTGTGTCGTTAAGAGATATGGGGGATGGTACGGAGTTGGTAGGCACGGCTGCACGTGGATATCATGACATTTAGCAGATTTAGCATAGTACATACAATATATATATATATGTATAATATTATATGTATATACTTCAGGAGGAACAAAGTTTATGCTTCTTGAAAGCTTTACAAAACATCCATTTCGGTCAACCGCGGATCACATTTTCAAGTCCGTTTTGTGTGGCAGGTGTGGGACGGTCAATTATCACCCTCTTTTAAATATATAAGGTTTTAAAGCTTTTGGAGGGTGGGAATGCGACCGGGGTACGACAAAGCTCCATGCTAGGATTCTACGGGGAAAGGGTGTGCAGAAGAAGAAACCAACCATGTTCACTGCGGGAAGCTCAACAAGCGCAACTTTTGTCCTACCAGTGCGTCACGGCACATGTGTAGCAGTGCAGACAAAGAGGATGGAGACAGGCATGTTATGTGGAGTAATGACCAAGCTGAAGCAGGTGTAAAAATCAGCAAATGACTTGGCAATCCCCACTCAATAAGCTTTTTGTACCCTTCAGGAGGAACAAAGTTTATGCTTCTTGAAAGCTTTACAAAACATCCATTTCGGTCAACCGCGGATCACATTTTCAAGTCCGTTTTGTGTGGCAGGTGTGGGACGGTCAATTATCACCCTCTTTTAAATATATAAGATTTTAAAGCTTTTGGAGGTGGGAATGCGACCGGGGTACGACAAAGCTCCATGCTAGGATTCTACGGGGAAAGGGTGTGCAGAAGAAGAAACCAACCATGTTCACTGTGGGAAGCTCAACAAGCGCAACTTTTGTCCTACCAGTGCGTCACGGCACATGTGTAGCAGTGCAGACAAAGAGGATGGAGACAGGCATGTTATGTGGAGTAATGACCAAGCTGAAGCAGGTGCAAAAATCAGCAAATGACTTGGCAATCCCCACTCAATAAGCTTTTTGTACCCTGCGTCACGGCACATGTGTAGCAGTGCAGACAAAGAGGCTGGAGACAGGCATGTTATGTGGAGTAATGACCAAGCTGAAGCAGGTGCAAAAATCAGCAAATGACTTGGCAATCCCCACTCAATAAGCTTTTTGTACCCTTCAGGAGGAACAAAGTTTATGCTTCTTGAAAGCTTTACAAAACACCCATTTCAGTCAACCGCGGATCACATGTTCAAGTCCGTTTTGTGTGGCAGGTGTGGGACGGTCAATTATCACCCTCTTTTAAATATATAAGATTTTTAAGCTTTTGGAGGGTGGGAATGCGACCGGGGTACGACAAAGCTCCATGCTAGGATTCTACGGGGAAAGGGTGTGCAGAAGAAGAAACCAACCATGTTCACTGTGGGAAGCTCAACAAGCGCAACTTTTGTCCTACCAGTGCGTCACGGCACATGTGTAGCAGTGCAGACAAAGAAGATGGAGACAGACATGTTATGTGGAGTAATGACCAAGCTGAAGCAGGTGCAAAAATCAGCAAATGACTTGGCAATTCCCACTAAATAAGCTTTTTGTACCCTTCAGGAGGAACAAAGTTTATGCTTCTTGAAAGCTTTACAAAACACCCATTTCAGTCAACCGCGGATCACATGTTCAAGTCCGTTTTGTGTGGCAGGTGTGGGACGGTCAATTATCACCTTCTTTTAAATATATAAGATTTTAAAGCTTTTGGAGGGTGGAAATGCGACCGGGGTACGGCAAAGCTCTATGCTAGGATTCTACCGGGGAAAGGGTATGCAGAAGAAGAAACCAACCATGTTCACTGTGGGAAGCTCAACAAGCGCAACTTTTGTCCTACCAGTGCGTCACGGCACATGTGTAGCAGTGCAGACAAAGAGGATGGAGACAGGCATGTTATGTGGAGTATGACCAAGCTGAAGCAGGTGCAAAAATCAGCAAATGACTTGGCAATCCCCACTCAATAAGCTTTTTGTACCCTTCAGGAGGAACAAAGTTTATGCTTCTTGAAAGCTTTACAAAACATCCATGTCGGTCACCCGCGGATCACATTTTCAAGTCCGTTTTGCGTGGCAGGTGTGGGACGGTCAATTATCACCCTCTTTTAAATATATAAGATTTTAAAGCTTTTGGAGGGGGAAAATGCGACCGGGGTACGACAAAGCTCCATGCTAGGATTCTACGGGGAAAGGGTGTGCAGAAGAAGAAACCAACCATGTTCACTGTGGGAAGCTCAACAAGCGCAACTTTTGTCCTACCAGTGTATATGTAAAGTATATATAAAGTTTATCATTACTCCTTCCATCGTTTTCCTTTATATCTGAAGTTTAATCAGTTGAATCTATTCATATTCATCTGATTACCCCAATGATTCATATCACACCATTCCTAGAAAGGAGAGGCCAGCGTCTTCAGCGCCCTACCTGTGCTCTATGCAGCCAAGCATCAAAGACGCACCAAAGCCTGGAGTTGCGGCCATGGGGTTGGCAAATTGATGACTTTTTGGTGAATTCTGGTGATGTTTGACTAATTCTGATGACTTTTGGTGAATTACGATTCGGCTTGAAAATAAAAGCTTTGAGAAGTTTCGGTTCATAATTCATCATAACTCCACTTGAAAACGCACGGTATTTCAATTTTGAGCCGTGAATCACTCTTAGCACATAACAGAGGATTGTCTGGTCCACTAAAGTGGTGAACGGCAGATCACTAGGCACAAATGGCTGGTCGTATTTCCAGCTTGGAGATTCATTTTGGCTTCACTTTGCAGTGGAGTAAAATTGGATTAATCCCAGGTCCGAGCTATTTGTTAATCTCAGGAGATTGTCAATTTACATTGGGGGCTTTCAGTGGATTAACAATCCCCTGCATTGTTCAATCTCACATAGAGTTGCAGTATAGTATGCCCTAAAAAGAATCAACAAGATAGAAACCGTATTTTCCCACTATTTTATAGGGATGAGTAAATTTCGTAGTTTGATGGATAAGGATAGATTTACAAAAGATATAAATTTCTGGGTAAATTATAATATTTCACTAACCCGAATAGTTCGGTCATTTGGGGATGATTCCTCTTATTAACCATGATTCCAGGGTTCGGGAGAACAGGGTTTGGTCGTGATCAAATTTACCCAGATTTATAAGAAAATCTTCATTCTATCACTTCTGTAGTTTAACAGGTCCTATAGGTATTACCCAGAAATTTGGGTCCAAGGAGCATCTATAATTGGCCCTATAGGTAATTTACCCATAATTGGAAAAGATAGACCTATAGACTGGTAGACTGGTAGTACCTATAAGATAGACCCATTTCCTGTAGGATTTTCCAATTCATCCCTCATCGCACCTGGATAGATAGGGCGGGCTCCATAAGACCTGCAGCTCTCTGGAAACCTCAAGCGTCAAGCGTTGCGACGTCAAGCGCGAATTTTGTCGCAGGGAGAAAGTACCCGGCCCGGTAAACGTTAACAAAAAGCTATTGAAAATGGCCATAGAAATAGCTATTGAATTATTGAACATATTTCTGGTTGGTGGTTTGGATAGTGGATTTAACAAAAAGCTATTGAACATGGCCCAGTCGAAATAGTGGATTTTCCCCATTTAAAATGCATGGTGATTTTCCCATCAGTTGTGTAAACGTTTACCAGAGGGTAACTCGTCAATGCCAGATTTGTAAATCACCAATCAGGGAATTTGAATGTGAATTTAAACCATCATGAACCATCTGTATTTGGGTCATAAGATTACTTAAGAAATCAATTCCGAAGTGGGATGATCCTCCCAGAAGTTCCTGTTGTGAAAACCTGGAGGGGCTAGTGGTCCCTTCTCCAATGGTACCTTTGGAAGGCTGGCCATCTTCCGATGATCAAACTATAAAACTAACACCTGAGTCCTAAGTGATACAGTAGGTCATCCCACAATATATATATATAATATATATAATATAGTATAATATAATATAATACAATATAATACAATATAATATAATATAATATAATATGATATATATATATTTCTATAACATGATAAATATATCTGCAATATTTCTAATACATCCGCAAGTGCCACAAAAAAAAATCCTGGATGTTTTTTTTGGCACATCAATTTCCATCATCTCCCTGGACCGGGATGAAGATCTTTCGTTCCCCGAGTCTTCGCAGCCAATGCTGAACCATTTGGTGAACATCGAAGAAATGTCCAACCAAATTTGACACATCTCCTGTTGATTTCTATAGTTTTGTTTGAATTCCAACATCACAACAATCCTGGAAATCCTAGGAAATCCAACCCATCCATTCCCCCATTCTGCGACTCGAAACAGAAAGAAATCCTCCAATGCCGTAGATGCCTTCCTCGATCTTTTCAGGATCCGATTGGTCGATTGAGACCATATCCTGAGCGAAGCGCAGAAGCGGAAACGAGGCACAGACATGGGACGTGGAGTCACAAGCGTTTTGTGCTCGAAACTAGATTTAGAATGTACAGTATGATGTGTATATACTATATATATATCTATATATATATATATATATATGTAGATAGAGTAAATCCTAAAAATGCAAAGATTCTGTTGTGTTTGCTGGATTGTCAAGTTTTGACCCATACCCATATTTCAATTGTTTGATGATGTTTTCGAGCCTCCAATTAGGACGGAAACTCCCACGCAACGGCTGAACAATTTGCCCAGAATGGACTCAAGCTTCTCAACCAACATGGGAATTCATGGAAATCCATGGGATTTTTATGGTGATTAATAGCTGGTTGGTGGTATACCTGCCCCTTTGAAACATATTAGTGAGTTGGGATCATGAAATTCCCAAATGAATGGAACAATAAAACATGTTCCAAACCACCAACCAGATAGTGATGTTGCCAACAAAAGAGGTATTAATGGAAAATTGCCAATGTAATTCGATGATTTACCTACTAAACATTAGTTTAACGGAGGCTAAATGAATCTACGAATGGTGTGATCTCATGGCATTTTCATTGCCGCGAAGTCATCCTGACGAAACCATAGCTTTACAATCCTTGTTGGGTCCTGCCCATGACGGAGGTGCCACGTGATCCTCGTAACAAGCCTCAAGGCTCTTTTTTATCAACTCACCCACCTAAAAAACAAAACATGTTCTGCTTCGAGCTCTTTCAATGTCACGGCCGACCGGAGAGCTAAACCTTGGCAAACGCGGATTTGTTCCGTGGCACCCTTTCCTCTGACTTCCATTGATTTCCACCTCGCATGGCCAAGCTGCCAAGCTGCCACCTTCCAACAAAATCCCCAACCTTTGCCAACGATGCCCCACAAAAACCTGAGTAAACATCCACAGATGGTAAACAGATCTATAGAATCTATAGATATTCAACTCATTTCAAGTTCCCAAATCACCAGTTGCTTCCCCAGAAACCTAGCCATTCGTCCCATTCGTCCGCCAAGGGTCTATGAAGCATCTCCCAGGTCTTCCGTTGAAACAGGGGAAATAGGGCGAAATAAAGAGCCCCAGCAGCAAACCCACGAGACTCGAAATGGAGACCCAACAGCCTGGAGCTGATGGAGCTGATGGAGCTGATGGGACAATCTCTACACTGAGAAAACCCTGTTGTGTTTGGCACCAAAGATATGTTTTTTCCTGTACATTTTCCGAAAAACCAAGTCTGGGGGGTTATTTACTAAGGAAAAAGATCCAAAAAGTGATATCTATCTATTCCAATTTGATTCCACATGTGGCCCAACGTATTGCAACAAGTATTAGTATGAGTGTTTGGCAACTGGGTGATTTCATCCCTGATATGTTCTATGGCATATCACCTACCATCATCTACCTATGCCCACCCATGAACAACAGTGCCTCAGCGCCGGGGTTGGTCCAAAAACAACAAAAAAAACATCATTTCATCGTGCATGCGGATAGGTTCATCAGATTGATGGTGCGTCTAATCTTTACTGATTTACTTGATTTTACTTGTATCATCTTGTATCCGTCATCATGGATCCATCTATTTTCACTATATATTTGGTTGACCGAAAAACCGCAGTTGCCAATCCCGAAATCCCAAGCCAAATCTATTGGTTGGTGGTTTTTCGCCCTACCCCTCTGAAACATGATGGAGTGAGTAACAGTTGGGATGATGACATTCCCAATATACAGTATGTAAAGTCATAAAATTCCATGGTTTCAGTCACCACCAACCAGATGAAGTTCCCCTAATCCACATCTTCCCATCCCAACCCTCCATCCCTGGCCTAAGGGCAAGAGGACAGCGCCTTGTCTGTCCTTGAAGCACCAGGGCATAGGGAACAGATCGTGGAGGCAGAGCACGGTGCTGATGCCCACTGCCTGAAACTTCCGATACAGCGAAGCTCGAAGTTATGGGTTGAAACTTGGGGGCTGCATCTCAGAGATGGTGAGTTTTTCTCATGGATCATACTACTCGCTGCTTGAAAACCATTGAATGATTGAAGACCTACTAAGGCTTCCAAGGTATAGTACTTTTCCTCGTGTCTACCGGGGGTGATCTTCTGCCGAGGGTGATCTTGGGGATCATGTTGCCAAGGAGCAAGGATGCCGTAAATGACTGCATAGGGCCACCCAGTTTGCATCAAAAGTGACAAGACCTCGAGAGCAAGGAACGATTGCTGCTCGTTGTTTGGACATGTTTGGCCCGTTTTTTTCGAAGATGGGCATGGAACGAATAAGACCCTGGGAGCCAATGCTTTGGGGAAGTCTTGGGAACAAAAGTCAGCAGCTTTGTATCACCCAAGGACTCTCAACGAGGGAAGGGGGGAAACACCAACACACCACTAACACATCAAGGAGGGGTAGGAAGTTGACTGCGGTTCGGATTTTGCCTGGGAGGACAGATAGAACTCACATTTCACCACTTTTGCTCACCCACGCTGACACGGACCCCAGGTCCGCTTCCTCCCCCATTTTGGGCGCCAGGAACTTTCCATTTTCCGTTGGTGGACCTTGAGCCGAGTGGCTGGATTCGTGAGCTGCGGGAAACCCACCAACCAATCCCAATGAATCACCTTTAGTAACCCCTCAAAAGATAGACACACACATGTATATATATATATATAATATATATGTATATATATATATTATGTATATATATATATATTACAATATAACCATAACATCCTACTGCAAGAATGAGATACTTCACTTTTCTTTCTTTTTGGGGGCTAGCATGCTGTAATTGCCACACACGGGTGGTTGAAACTCCCCACTTGAAACATTGAAGAAA